TTGGTGACTAATTTTTATCAGCTACATTTTAAATATCTGGATCTTTACATTTTGCTCTGAAAGCTAACGAGGACTCAGTACTGCATAGCCTTTGAGGGGTGTTGCAGTGCCCATGGACTTAATTCAGGAAATCTGTGGGAATCTGGCTACAGTTTCTACATCCTCTGTTTGTAAACAACCTGAATTGTCTACAGGGAGGATTCACCCAAGGCAAGCATTGAGATGGGCCTATGCTGGCAGATACACAAGCCTGTAAGTGATGTGTATGTTGGTGCTTAGGCCTTAACACACTGATATAAACCAATCAGACGTTTCTGTTCTGCTTTTTCCTTGTATTGGTGAGTGTGAACACATTCAGTCTACGTGTTTATTTTGAGAGAATACTTTCTGCAGGCTCAGAAATAAATAATGAAGTATTTTCAGTGGGTCTGTGAATACACTGAGAAATCAATACCTTTCTTACTCCTTGTAAACTACCACACAAATAACTTGCAAAAACGTCATTTTCATGGATATTTCAACGTGCTGTCTATCATACAACTAAAGCCTATGCCTTGCTCATTCAAAATGGCAGTAACTACTAAGACATCTAACTCAATGTAAAGAATAATTATAATGATGATACATGGATAGACCTACATCAAATAGCACTTAAAATGATGCATGATAGGATGTATAGTGCCAACATGGTTATGGTTGGAAGAGTTAATCTAGAAGTGGCACATCTTTTTAAACATAACAATTCAGATTTAGCCTTATTTAAATGACTGAAGTCTGTTTTCATTCTTTTTGTCCCTGAAGAGACAGGACAGTGGGGAAAATGAGCTAGACTCACTGTGTTTCTTAAATGCCAAAAGCTGAATGACAGAAGCAAGGCTATGCTCTTGGACTCGAGTGCAATGTTGTGTTATAGAGTCACACCTGTTAAAGCTGGGTATCTGATTAATTGCTTTTTGGGTCCAATGAAAGTGATTGTTTATATATGAGTAATAATATAATAAGTAGATATTTACCATTTCTTCAAACTCTTCTGCTTGTTTCACCTCTTGGGGATAGCCATCAATCAGAAATCCTTTTGTCTCTCCTAAACTGGTCATCATAGCTTCCTTCATTAGCTCCAAAATAATATCCTGCGTTGAAGAAAAAAAATTCTTTGTTACCCATACGTATTGTTTTAAACGGTTTTGTTATAACATCTTTAGTCCCATGTTTCTGGGAACCATTGCAAGTCTGCTTCCCAGAGGCAGACCCCTTGAAAGTAAGTTTTTTTCTAGTAGTACCAAATTTACTGTAGGCTCTGAATAGCATTTTCTCAGAAACAGCTGTGTCACATGAATCCAGGGCCAGGCTTGTCATCTGTCCTGGATTTCCATGATCTTCTCTTCCAGGAGGGGGGAGGGGAGGGTCATTTTGCATTTTAATTGAATGCACAAAACTTGTGACTGCATTAATGACAATAGAATTGATCCTATTACAGAAAGTGAGAAACAAACCCAGACCCAATATACCTCTTAATTTCCTTTCTTGATGCATTTTATTAACACGTACATCTTTTAATCTAACTGCACTTGCTGTAGCTCAAACTGTCCTTGGTTCTGGCTTGCAATACAGTTTAATATGGCTATAAATCTACGTAGCTTGCAGGATGTCTGCTGCCTGGGAATTAGGGAGGTGGCTGCTCTGGGAGGCAATTGCTAGTATAACAGCCTTATGCTACATCCCAGTCCCATTGCTCTGCACTCCCACTGTTCTGGATGCCAGCCAGATCCATAAAGACAATTAGAAGCAGTATAAATTAAAATGGCTGCTAGGGCGTTAACTTAAGTTGGGGCTCCTGCACCAGTCCAGAATTCAAAAGTGCCTATCTCACTTCCCCATTGTAAGCTGTGTTTTCTGCAAGGTGTAGCATACAAAACAGTTCATTATAATTGCTCTCTCTCAGGGAATTTATGGGCAAGTTGTAGGTAAAAGAGTATCTTTTCCTGGTAAATACAATGAAGAAGACCACCACAGATCTAGACTAGGGGACACCTCTTTACCAGGCAGGGACCTTACTCCTCCTCAAATGGAAAAGCACCTCAGCTCTGTTCTATTTCCCTTATTTGAGGGGGGCCTCCTGCTTTCTTCTGCAATCACATTACTTACTCCAGGCACCTGCTCCCCACATTCCAGGATGTCTTTGATCAATTTGCTCCTCTCTGATAATGAGGACGATTCTTGTTGGAGAAGATCATGAATGGACAGATGTACAAATCCATACTTTTGTGCTAACTGTTCACACTGGGTTCCTTTTCCCGAGCCCGGGCCACCTACATGAGGAGAAAAACATCTAGGGTTAGGGAACATAGAAATTCCAGAGAGCTGAACAGCTGGATCTTTTTAATTAGAAAAATGGAATGAAAATAGCATGACATCCTGTATGAAATAAATGTTCAAGTTTGTACATGCTAGGCAGCAACCAGATATGCTATAGTACTGCAAGGTATGAGAAGTTGCACTGAATCTGCAGCCCTCTGCTGAATTCATGGGAATCTCACCAATGTGAAATCAGTGCAGGAGAAGGGACCAGCCTTTTTGGTAGCTGACCAGCCAAAATGCCAGTTAGGATAGCAGTACTATATCTGCTCTGCTCTGTTAGGAGATTCAGCTAGCACAGGCACCAAGGCATTCCACGCAGAGCCAGTTTTTCTTTGTAATTTGTCCACACCAGTCTACCTCAGATCAGAGTGAGGAGCAAGAAGCCCATTTCTTGAGTCAAGGTTCAGATAATGAGCGCCGTTCAGCACCAGCATTGGTGCAAGCAGAAGCCCCAGTCTTCAAGTGATATGTTCTCTCTGTCTAGGAAAAACCTCTCCTCCATCTCTGTCTCCAGCCAATCCCAGCTGAAGTAGGAGACTAGCAAAGGTCCTCCATCCTCTGAGGAGCTGAGGACTTTTGAGGAAGAAGTAGCCAATGCTTGTTCACAAGAGGGAGGAAGGAGCAGAAGGAGCAGGAAAACCACAAAACAGACCAACCCCCCCCCCAATATCAACTTTAAATATAACCCTCATGATTTTTGGGGTGTGGCTGATAAAAGTTGAGCTTTTGGGGTTGACAACACTGCAGCAATAGTAATGTCCTTGTGTCTGAATAGGGTGCTCCATATTGCGACTCCAAGATCCTTGTAATTCCACGAGTTGATGAACCCCGGTCTTTCTTTGTTTATTGCTTCAATGTGTGAACATTGACAAGCTACTGAATTAGTCCATTGTCTCCTTTCAGGTCAAAAATATTACTGTTCCAGCTTCTATATTCAGTTTAGGAAAAAGCTACTACACAGAAATTTTTTTCAGTGAAGTGACAGCAGTGTAACAGAGCACAGAAATTGGGCCATAATATAGTTGCAAAAGAGCAATGCTGGTTGTGTCGTACAAATCCATGGCCTTTTAATTCCAGATTTACAATTAACATTATTAGCATACAATAAAAGAATCACAGGCTTCAGCTTGTTCAAAAATATTTTGGCATAGCCTCATTTTCTTCACTCTAAGAGGATATTCCTCCTTCCCTATCTCAGTTGTTACAGTATATGTATTTTTTATAAGTAGGCCTTGAAAGGAAAATATACCCACTTCCTATCTACTACTCCCCTGCAGAGAAACTGTGGGCGCAATAATTACCTGTAGTGGCTATATAGGCCCGTTACATATTACTAGATACAATGTAATTGAAAATCAGTCACTGTAGTTTCTAAACGAATAATGAAGAGTTGTATGATGATATATAACTGCCATCCATTGTTCCATTTGTCACAAGGAATTGATGTGCAGAACTTCTCTTGGATGGAAGTAGAGAGCAAGGTAATGAAAAAAATGACATTTACAGTCACAGAGCTTTTTTTATTTTTTTACAGGTTTCCTTGCAGGAATGATGCCCCACAATTAAATAGCTTTCCCCCAAGCCACTGTCTGAGAAATAGAATTATAAATATAAGGACAGCACTGTAGGAACAAGTATTATGTTTCCTTCCCATTTCTTCGATATCTTTCCAAGTAAGGCTTATTTTCTTTACTGTAGTGCTTTCCCTGTCTCTTAAAACAAGAAAACAAACTGTTTGTGAACCTGGAGCACTCATATATATTTAAAAGGAAATATTCCTCCTTCTGAACTTATCTGGCCAGATTCTCCTCCCTACCTTTTTTTTGTTTGTTTGGGGGGGGCGCAGCACAGCTGGGTAAAGAGTGTGAGCGGAAGCAATAATTCCACTGTGCTTTATTTCCTGCCTCTGAGGACATGGAAGTCCTCTGTGAAGAAGACCTCTGGCTCATCTGGATTTAGTTCTGTCCCCTTAGAGACCCAATCTTAATGATTTTTCCTCCTTCCCTTCCACATGGCAACCAGTCTTTTGTGATGAAGATGATAATGCATTATTTCCTTAGTAACTTTTACTCTTCTGCTTTTTTTTCCTAAGAACATAGCAAGGAAAGGATCTCCTATGCAATCAAGTCCAGTTCCTTGCTATTTCAGACACCCATGTCATATAAAACTTTTAAATAAATTATCAAGTCCCATCTTAAAAACAATTAGGTTTATTGTCCTCTTGCTCTGTTCTAGAATCGCACACCTCTGATGGAAAGAAGCCTTCTTCCCATTTCCAGCCTAAATTTATTTGTGGCCAGTCTACACAATGTTGTGTCACCACAGTCTTTTACCTTAAAAAAGTTTTTATTCTCCCTCTCTGGTGTTTTGTACTTTGCACTAACTGACAACAATCCTATCCACTTTTAGCCTGTAGTTTTCTGGACATAACAAACCAAGTTTATTCAGGTATGATTAAACCTCTTGTATAATGATTTTCCTCGAACGGGGAGACCATGGCTGGATGCAGTATTTTACACGAAGTCTCACTGATGCCTTGTACAGTGGCATCAATCCTTCACTATATTTACTATAAGTACCTTGCCCAAAGCACTCTCATTGTCTTTTTTCATGACTCCACCCTATCAGTGACTTAGTCATCCCATAGGCAACTAGTCCTCAAGTCACTTTCAACTGATAAGTTTGGTTTATACAAGAAATTCCTATTACTGGTTTCTAAGGGCAAGATATTGCATCTTGTAGGATTGAAGAGTTTTCCATTTCTATTGCTCCTAAATGTCATCTAGTTCTTCATGTATAAAATTCTTCTTCTGGCTTGATAATTCCTCTTTTAACACAACCTTTTGTTGTTTGATCATCAGCTAATTCCTGTGTGTTTTGAACTAATCCCCATTTTCTCTAGTTTTACTAATTATTTTCCACCAGACACTGTGTCAAATGCTTTATTTTGGTCTATGCAGGTATGATTTATTGCAAAAAATGTATCTGATCAAAGAAAAGTATCAGTTTATTTTGGCACAATCTACCCTTGTAATTTTTTCCACTTTCTATTTACATGTATCTCTTTAATTATGTTTCCCTTCAAAATTTGTTGTAAAGCCTTGCTACTACTGCAGTCAAACTAATGAGCCTACATTTTCCAGATACATTTTCTAAATGTGGGCAGTATTTCTGTCCAATTATATGGTTCCAATTTGATAGATTTATTAAGATCCTTCCTACTGGATTTGTAATACCATATGCCAGTTCTTTCCAAATTTTAGGGTGGAAATCAAAGAGTTCTCCCAACCTATGACTCTGAGCTTTACCTTTGCTACACTCGTGGAAATTTTTGTTTTTGTAACCTCATTCCCATTAGCTACCCTGCCTTTGCCCACCCCCTATTCAATATCCTACTCCTAAATGAAAGCTGAATCAAAGTAATCACTTCATTTCTTTAATGCCATTGCCATCCTCGCTGCACAGTGATTCCACTTCCCCTGTGGGAGTGGTGCTACCACCTACTACACCAACCACTATATGCCTAGCTTTTAGGTGTGAAACAATTAACACGTACGTGTGCCTTTCAATATAGAATATCTGCCTTTCTCTTTTCTTCCTTTCCCTTCTTTCCCAGCATAGAAGTAACGATTGTTTGGGGGTCTTAAGTCTGTCTAGTGTAAAATTCCACACTGCAAATCCATTAGTTTTGTCATCTTGGCATCTCCTCTGAGACACCTATCTCATTTAGCCCTGAAGATGTTCCCTTTATTTTGTAGCTGAAGCATATTGAACTTGGGGGCAGGGAGAGAGGTCCGATACCTGTATTGCTGCTGCCTATGATAGTGTTCAATTTTAGATGAGTTCAGCCTTCTGAGCTGTCTGTGTAACACTAATATATCCCATGTACATGCAGGGGTGTGCCCTGTCTGCAAGGGGAAGGGATGGGGCGGTCAGGCAAGAGTGCTGTGAGAGGGGTCTGCCACCGGGGAGCAGTTCCTCTTTTCTCTATAGAGCCAGGTTGGGACAAAGCACTTAACTATACACAAATTTATTACTGTTTGCCAAAATCCTTAAAAAAGAAATAGGTATTAATATACAACTAATATAAATATTTACAGACTTATAAAAACACAGATAAATGTGTACAATAACCACAGGCAAATATAGCTACGCAAATAAACGCAGGTGTCCGCAGATAAGTTCAAGCAAGAACCATAAAATAACACAATCAAACCTTAACTTGCTGACATAACCCAGGCTACATTAAGATCTATCTATCTATCTATAAATATAACTATTTACAACATGGGAGGCGCAAGTCTTCCCCCCACCTTCAGGCATCCTCATGGCAGAGACTATTTACTGTTCCCCTAGGGAGGCAAACCTGGCAACCCCCCCAGGGGGAGGAGGGTTCCAGTACCTCCTGTTTCCTAGATGGGTCCACCTGGTTCCTGATCCTGCCAGATTCCCCTTTCAGGGCCTCCCCCCCTGGGGAGGGGGGACCTGTTCCCCAGGTACTCATGGATCCAAGGAGCAGGTGGGGAGATGTTCCTGGAGCTTCAGGTGCCTTGTCGGGGCTGCCCGGGGCCCTGCCTTCTGTTCTCTGTTGGGGCTTGGGCTGCCTTGTGCAGGTCCCAAAACCTGGACTCGGACCGCTGGAAATCCACCACACCCTACTGGTGCCTTCTGGGTGCCTGGCCTCATACTGGTGAGGGGGTTGTAAACCCGAGCAGCGTGCTGCCACTCCCAGGGTTTAGGGATGCCATGAACTGCCATGTGCACTGAGTCCTCAGCCTCATGCTGAGGGTAGCAGACCTGAGCTGCCCCGTGTACCGCTGCATGTGCTGGGGTTCTTGGCCACACACCGAGGGCAGCAGACCCAAGCCACCATATGCAGCATCCAGGGCCTGGTGGCTCTGTGCACCACTATGTGAACTGAGTATCTTGGGACCAGAGCTGCCTCCTGCAG